AACTGCATGCGCAGCGCCGCGCGCTTGCTGGCGGCGCGGAGGCTGGCCTCTTCGCTCACCTCGCCAGCCGCATCGCGAGCCCACCCGCGTCGCCGTATCGGTTGGCGGTCCGGACCAAGCTGCAGCGCCTCGGCGTACTCGGCCGCCGCCTCATCGGACTGCTCTCGCTGCAGCGCACCGAGGTGAGCCCGCAGCGCCGCCCGGGAGTGCGGGTCCGAGACAATAGGTGGCGGCTCGCCGAACTCTCCGCGATAGGAGGCCGCCACGCGCGCGTGCACCGCCCAGGCAGTCGCCTCTGGCTCCATTGGCCGAGCCGGCCGTTGTACAAAAAGAATTTAAACGCGCACCCTCTATAACAGTACACAGGCTCGAAAGAAGCCGCGAGAACAAGGGACCGGCAGGCGGCGGCGTCGCAGGACGAGGCAGAAGAGAACGACGCGACAGAGGAGGAAGTGACAAGGGAGAGACCGACGAGAGTGGGACGGCCGCGAGGTGGCATGAAGGTTGCAGCGAGAAGCGGCGAGAGACTGCGAAAAGAGATACGAAGAGGCAGACTCCCCAGGGTGGGCGACGGCTAGCGCATCACACTCCTCTCCTTAAAATCCCTGTGTGGTGGCGGCGTGCCGTTCTCCCATCCCTCCCTTGGGTTGTGTGTTTTTTTCTTTCTTTCTTTTACACAGGCTCGACACAGGTGCGAACTGGCGCGTGCTAGTACTATCACCGGCACACCACCGGAGCCGCCTAAGCGACTCCGTTAAGAACGGCAATGCACTTAGCTCCGTGCACAATGCCGCTGTCCCCGCACGCTAGCTCGTTCACCGTCTGCCACGCCACGGCGGTGTGGAGAACGACAGACAAGCGCTGCATCTGCAGCCCGTGCCAGTTCTTGGTGGTCCATGTGACCTCATCGAGGTGCTGAGCGTGCGAAAGTTTGTTACTCAGCTGGTCCGCCGCCTGCCGAAGAATGTTGCGGACGCCGTCCCCGAAGCCGCCGAACAAAAAGAATTTTACAACGAACTCGCACAACACTGGGCACGGGACTGGCGCGCACTGGCACTAACACAGGTACACCACGGGAGCCGCCTAAGCGACTCCTGCGAGGGTGGCGAGGCACTTAGCTCCGTGCACCCGCCCACCCCCGCCACAGGCAAGCTCATTCACGACCTGCTCTGCGATGGCCGTGTGAAGAACGAACGACTGAGATACGCTGCTTCTGCAGCCCCAGCCAATTCTTAGTGGTCCAAGTCACCTCATCGAGGTACTGGGCCCATGACGAAAGAGACATGGCTTTGCTCTTGCTGTACCAGTTTGGGGACTGCTGCGGGCTTCGTCCGATCAGGGCTACACCTCCTGTCCACCAGGGCTACACCTCCTTGACAGAAGCACACAACGTAACCGTGGGACGCTCGAAGCTTTCCCCCGGCCCCACCCGCTGGCGAGAACAAAGGGAGGCAGCGCCAGCAGTGGGCAACAGCAGCCACAAGCACAACCCCAGGTGAGAGTCAGCAGAGCGCGCCGTCTCGGCGGCTATGGGCAAGTGGGCTGAGAGACAAGAGGGAATTTTACCACACGATTCACACGACAGACAAGGCGCGGGCGACGGCTTCCTCAGAAGCCGTCGCCCCCACCACAGAAGCAGTCACACCACTCCCACTCCGGCGCCCACCCACTCCCCACCCCGACATCCCCACCCCACCCCCCACTCCCACTCCGGCGCCTCCGGCGCCCACCCCCCACCCCACCACCCAAAATCACCGCCCCACCCCGCCCCACCCCGCCCCGAGAACCACCACCTTTGGCAGCACAAAGCTGCGCCAGATGTCCGGCAAGCTCTGGAGCCGCTCCCTCGCGGCTGTCGAAGCGCTCATCGTCC